CCACCTAACTGATTTCATCTCTTTGTGAAAAATCAATTGCCCATAAATAGATGGGCTGATTTCCGGGTTCTCAATTCTATTCCATTGATCTATGTGTCTGTCATTGTACCAGTATGCTTTTCCTTTGATTTTATGGAGTCTGCCGTGTCCCACAGCCAACCCTTCAAGAACAGGAATGTGACTGAAACAACTTTCTTGTTTGTTTTTTCCTGTTTGTTAGTTTTTTAGTATTTCTCACTTTGCTGCTAGTGAAAAGCAGGTTTTTCCTTGTTTCTTTAACTTTGATCCTTTCCCAGTGTCTGACCTTGGGTCACCCTGTGTTCCTGTTAGCATTTGCCAGGGGGTCCCAGGCTTGTTCTGTCACACAGTAAGGAGCGGGTAGGACTGTGGAGCATCTTCTTCGGTTCCTGTCTTGCTGTGGAATGTTATACATGAAGACATTGAAAAGTCCGAGCCGTCACAGTCAGAAAGGACCAGTGAGCACGGGTGGGTATTGTGCCCAGCCCTGCTCACAAGGCAGTGGGGATACATAGCAACTTACTGGACTTAAAACGTTCACAACCCACTTGGAGAAATAAACGTATACTCCTGGGTTGAAAGGAAGTGATAATGGAGTTGGCAGTGGTGCCGTGGCCGTCATTTTTTGTAGTTCAGAGATAATCACTGGGGCAGGGGCATGCATTTACTCTACACTGTACCCTAAGGACACACTGTTATTCCTTAAGCCTGCCTCTTGGGTGGCTCTAATTTATATGTGAGCTCCGGCGTCATAGTGGATAGGGGATCACCCAGCAAACCCAATGGCAGGTGGTTCAAATCTACCAGCTGCTCTATGAGAGAAAGATACGCAGTATCCTGTGTGGTTTCCAGCCTTGGAAAATCCATCAGAGAGTCCACTGTCAGTCATTTCTCACTCCATGGCACTTAACAACAACATGTATACAGATAGACATTCAAATGTACATATGTGTATACATACACATACAAGTATTAATATCATACTTACCATAGCATTTCAAAGGCCTCCTACTATGAAAACTTCTAGAAATGGATTTCAGCTTATATTTCTTTTCATGTTTTCTTGAATGAAGTTTACAGTCCTTGCAGTGAACATTTTTCATGATTTATTTTGACAAACTCTAGAGTTGTATGAGTTTTGGCTAGTTTCCTAAGGACATTTATGGGGGAAATGGGACTTGTACTGGGTCTTAAGCAGTGTGACAGGGAGGGAACCAGCAGTGGTGTTAGCAAACCGCTACAGACCTAGGCTTGGCCAGGTGGAAGTTTCAGCAGGGGCAGGGCGAGTTATGGCTGGATAAGAAGGTGGGGGAGGCCAGGGAACCCCTGGATGCCAGGCTGTGGTCAGAAGACAGGATTCTGAGTAGTGAAATGATGAGTTGGACATGGTGATTCAGAAAGGCTGGGCTGTGTAGATGGATGGAGACCCTAGAACCAGGACCTGCTAGGAGGCTCCTGGAGGATTTTAGTATGAGGTTTGGAGATCAGAGCAAAGAGTAAGGGAAAACTGAATTCAGAATGTTCTCCTGGAAAAAACGAGCCAATCTTGCTAACAGTCAATAGACTGTTAAAGAGACAGAGAGTGAGGAAAGGACCAGAATGACTCTGAAGTTCTAAAATGTACATTTCTGTTTGTAAAAAGTCTACACGTGATTATGATTTAGACCCTTATGGCTTTGAAATACAGTCAGTCTTTTTTTTTGTTTTTTGTTTTAAGACTTGAGTTAGTTCAGTATGATTTCAAAGGAAATTGTTTCTGGGGACAGCGCAGGACTGCTTCAGCTTGTCACCCTGTCCTGATGCCCTTTCTCTCCATTTCCCCCACCCCCAGGAGGCTCTGAGTATAGCCAAAGTGCAGGTGGAGATGGGAGCCCAGGTGCTGGACATCAACATGGACGACGGCATGCTGGACGGCCCCAGTGCCATGACCAGATTCTGCAACCTGATTGCTTCTGAGCCAGACATTGCAAAGGTTGGACAGTTTATGGCCATCGAGGGAATTTACTTGTCTGGCTGTGCTATTCATTTGACAGTTAATCTCACTGATCTGCTACCTCGTAAACCAGCTTTCTGTTTTCTTGCATAGATATCCCATTGTCAGGTTTTTTGGTAAATGCTAGCCATTTCAGTATCAGGAGCTGCCTGAGTGATGTGAACATTTAAGTCTTCTGCTACTAACTGCACGGTTATTGATCTGAGTCCCCTCAGAGACTCCTCAGAAGAAAGGCCTTTTGACCTACCTCTGAAAGAGCCTGCCCAGGAAAGCTTCTGGAGGGCAGCTTCTCTCTGAAACATGAGGTCGCCGTGAGTCCCCCTCAACTCTATGACAACTTGTTTATCAGTATGACCCAGACCTGGGAAGGAGATGTGACTTCAGCTTAGCTCCTCCCAGGGCTTCTGTGATTGGTCACAAGAACTGAGCATCCCCTGGTTTCTGGGGAGACTGGGAATCCTGTTTTCACATCCCTGGGGGATGGATTCACCTGGTCTAACCCCATCATCCCATCGTGCCCAGGAGAACTGAGTTACTGCTCCTCACTGCAGGGAAAAAAAACCCCAGCTCTAGATTATCAGTTAAGACAGAAATACAAAAGAGAGTGAAGCCTAGTTGTTACACCCAGTTTCACATTTGTCCTTTGAGGGTAAGTTCATTTCAGTGCCATCTGTGGTTGCTGCCTGCTGCCCTGATGGAGACTGCCCGCTCATGGCGGGTCTGCTCAGGGGAGTGGCACGCTGAGAGTAGGAGCCTGATGACCCTCCCTGGTTTCCTGGGCTGAGCTTTGGGAGATAGGTCACCAAGCGTGCCTTCCATTTTAGCGTTGAATAGCTCTTTTAAAAGTTTTGGATACATACTTAAAAAATTTGTTATAAGACTGAAACTTTTATGATAATTCTCACTTTGTTCCCCTGCATGAGATAATGTGGTGAGATGTTATTTTTGACATTTTCTTTCATTAAAGACACTTCCTCATGTTTGCATTTTTTTTATGTACAGCTGCATTTTTTTTTTAATTAGTTTTTAGCAGTTGCTCAGATTGGAAGTGGTGTGGTCAACACTGAGTTCTATTAACTCATTCTTCACTTGTGTCTAAAGCATAAAACTGAAAGATTCTTATTCCTCCTTTGCAAGTAAATATTTTGAGAAATTAGGATGCAGAGTTCAGCAGGGGTCAGATTCTGACCACATGTACATGTGTGCCCCCAATGTAGTGTTAGTGCACTGAAGTCAGCATACTCTAAAGCTTTGGGCTGCTTTGTCACTGCGTTTGATCCTATTCCTAGTGTATTTCTCATTACCATCAGGATAAGAAAAATCAAGAGCTCAGTAGGTTCCTTGTTGTTTTCTTGATTTTCCTTGGGAGAATGGCTGAAGGCCTAGGAGTTGGGAAGCTCCAGAAAAAAGCTTAACCACATTCTTCAGTTATCAATTGAAATGCCTCTTGCCCTGGGACGCTTCCCCTAAACTCTAACTCCCATGCCCTGTATCTCTACACTGGGCGTTGTTAGGGGCCGTCGAGTTGAGCACAACTCATAGTGACCCAGTAAACAACAGGCCTGAACCTGGGCCTGTCCTGTGCCATCCTCACAATCTCCAACACCTTCAAGCCCATGGCTGCATTCATAGTGTCAGTCTACCTGGTTGAGGGTCTTCCTCTCTTTCGCCAGCCCCCCACCTTTCCAAGCATGACATTTCTATTGTATGTTGTTGTTTTTAGGTGCTGTTGAGTTGAGTACAACTCATAGCAACCCTATGAGCAACAGATCTGAACCCTCTTCCATCCTGTGCCATCATCATCTTCTCTGACACACTTGAGCCCATTGCTGTGGTCCCTGTGTCAGGCCATCTCAGTGTTCCTCTCTTTTCCCAACCTTCCACCTTTCCAAGCATGATGTCCTCCAATGAATAGCCTCACCTAGCTACATGTCCAAAGTATGTGAGATGAAGTTTTGCCAGCCTTGCCTCCAAAGAGCACTCTGGCATACCTTTTCCAAGACATACCTGTTTGTTCTTTTGGCAGTCTTTAGGGTATTCACTCTCTTCCAGCATCAGAAAACTCAAAGGCATCAATTCTTCTGTCATCCATTGTCATTGTCCAGGTCTCAGAGGCATAGCAAGTAACTGAAAAGACCATGACTTGAATCAGGTACACTTTAGTCTTCAGTCTGACATCATTGCTCTTAAGTATTTTGGAGAATTCTCCAACAGTAGATTTTTCCAATGCAGTATGTCTCCTGATCTCCTGAATTCTGGTACCAGGTGTGTTGATTGAGGATTGAAGAAGAAATCATGGACTGTTTGAATCCTTTTGCCATATATTTTGATGTTACTTATGGGCACAGTGGTAAGGACCTTTGTTTTCTTGGTGTTGAGATATAATCTGTATTGAAAGCTGCAGTATTTGACCTTCTGCAGTAAGCACTGCAGGTTCTCCTCATTACCACCTCCTCCTTCATATAGTCTGGCATCATGAATTATTTGCTCAGCATACAGATAAAATAGGTATGGAGATACAACCCTGACATACACCATTCTTAATTTTAAACCGTGCTGTGTTCCCTTGTTCCATTCAGAGGATAGCTTCTTGGTCTAGGTATAGATTTCATATAAGCACAATTAAGTGCTCTGGGATTCCCATTTCTAATCTTAGCAGTACTTTGTTCTGATCCACACAGTCCAATGCCTTTGCATAATCAATAAAGCACAAATAGATGTCCTGCTGGTGTTCTCTGCTTTTAGCTAGGCTCCATCTGCCATCAGCAGTGATAGCCGTAGTGCGTCCTCGGTGACTGCACACACCATTGATGAAACACTGCCTGATCATCTGCCATCACTGTGAGCACTTGCAGGTTGGACTGTTGTAATCAATCCATCTTTCACTGATTTTTTAAGTAGATCAGGGAGCGCTCGTGGCCTAGTCTGTCGAAAATTGTGCTCCTAACCCAAAGGTCTCTCAGATAATTCTAACCCAGCAGTTGCTCCCGTGCAATTTATGGCCTCTAAATGTCCACTGGACAGCCACCTGTGAGTCAGTTCTGACTCAACAGCAATGCTGTTTGTTGTTATGTACCACCGAGTTGGAACCAACTCTTGGCTGACCCCCCAGTGGGTTTTCAGAGGCAGTAAATGGAACAGGAGTTGATTGCTCATTTTCTTCTGCGAAGCAGCTGGTGGATTGGAACATAGAATCTTTGGGTTGGCAGCACAACTCCTTATCACTATGCCAGCAGAGCTTGAGTTCACCTTTTATCCAGCACTTACCACACTTCATATCATTCCTTGTTTGATCATTTATCACCTAACACAGGAAAGCCAAGCCTCTATTTCTCCTATCATTGTCTCCCGTATCTGTCGTGGAGCCTAAACTGTGGTAGGCACGTAGGTATTGAGGGACCCAGCCAGCCATGTAATTCTCCATTCTTCTGAGCCAGGCTCAGCTTTCTGTTAAGTACTTGCTTTCTTCTTTCCTGGAATTGGGGCTTAGATGCAGGGTTATTAAAAGCAACATTTTCTCTCCTGCATGCTTTGATTTTTGTCCTTTACTCAATATTGATCTACTTTTCTTTCTGATATTAAAAACTCACATCTTTCTAAGCTATGAAGTAAGGCTTTCTAAAGGGAGGATTGAACTCATAAAATGTGGCTAGAGGCCTGTTCTTAAAGGCGTGACATTAATCCAGGTTCAGATCAGATACATTTGAATCCTGTTGAAGGGATTTGCCTTGGGATTTAGGCAGCTGCAAGGGTAAACTTTTACTGAAACCAGTGACCTGTTAATGCTGTTTTGATGTTTATCTGTGATATTTGAGATGTAAATTCCCCACCCAGGCATGAGACTGCTGATCAGATGGCAGCAACTCCTAGTATGTTGGACTCCTGTCAGTTTTTGGCCTTAAGAAAAACACCATTTGTGGAATGTCTGATAACGTGCCTAATAGAACAGACAGACCAGCCTGCACAGAGTAGATCTGCCTGGGGTGTGTCTGGGGCTGTGCACATTTGTGGAAGCACACTGCAACATCCTCTCTCATGAGCTGCTCGTGGGTCACAGCCTATTACCTGGCAGGCTGTGAGAACAAGTGTGTACACCCTGTCTTGGTCACACTACTGTTTGTTTCCTAAAGAAGAAACAGTCGGGGGGGCTCCTGGGAAGACATTTGTGGCTTCTTGTCATTTTTCTGGCCCTTTTGGTCCCAGGTGCCCTTGTGCATCGATTCTTCAAATTTCGCTGTGCTAGAAGCTGGCCTGAAGTGCTGCCAAGGGAAGTGCATCGTCAACAGCATCAGCCTGAAGGAGGGGGAAGGTGCCTTCCTGGAAAAGGCCAGAAGGATTCAGCAGTTTGGAGCGGCGGTGGTGGTGATGGCTTTCGATGAGGAAGGCCAGGTGGGTGACTCCGTGTAATGTTCACTTGTTTGCCATCACTCTGTTGTGATTGTGTGGCTTTGCGAACTGAACGAAGTATGTAATAAGATCTTCATCGCAGTAGAGCAAGGTGGACTTATTCAGTAAATACTATCGGGATCATTGGCTATTTGGAAGGAAATAAAGTTAGAGCCCCACTTCTCACCATATATTGTTGTTGTTGTTATGTGTCGTCGAGTTGTTTGTGACTCATAGCGACCCTGTGTATAACAGCCCTAAACCCTGCTCTATCCTGTGCCAGTTGCACTGCCTCTGACACACCCATCCTGATTACCCCAGTCACTGAATCAAT